GGAAACAGGAAGGAAACTGAAGCCAGAGACATGAGGTCGAAAGCAAGGGCTTGGGGGAGCCCCACTATGAGGCCTGACAGGGTCTAAGAAGGCACACCGCCCCCTCCCCACCACCACAATTTTTAATGGCCAAGGGAGGCTTAAGACAAATTAGTGACGTCAAGCGGTAGCAAATTGGTTTGTTTGTGGGGATTACTGGCTCCATATCCCTGCCACTAGTCCTCAACCCTTGCATCTGACACAGGTGTTTGCTGGCTGGGGAACTGTGAAAGTTGACCTGGTTCTGGAGATGCCATCAGGCCAGGAAGGGTTTGGGAGGTCGGGGCCAGGCCTGATAGTAAGTATGGTAGTGCTGGTTAGGCCCAGGTGTGGGGTCAAGGAAGAGTGCTGGCCTCCGGGCCAGAGGCCATGGCCTCTGGGAAGAGAGAGCTAAGATGCCAAGACCACCAGTCTCCTACCCACCCCAGGCTGTGAGACAGAGAGGAGAGCCCTGAGCCTTCCTGGGGAGTTTGCTAAAGGTAGTTTGTCCTTGTGCCATTCCCTTGAACGTTAAAGATGGCAACTCAGAGTAGAGTAGACAAGAAGGTCAGAGATGGGCAAAGGACCTGCTTTGAAGCCACTTTTCCTGGGCTCTCCATGGCTCTGTGATAGACGCTAACAGGTCCCAGCCAAATCCCATGCCAAGACTTACGTCTGGGTGGGTGGGTGGGGGGTCTTTCTTTCCCCTTCTGAAGTCCTTGATGGTAAATGACAATCCCTTCCCTATCCCCTTCCCCCCAGTCCCCCAGGCCCGCCTTGGCGCCTGGCCTCCTGTGTGTTGGCAGGACTAGGGGGGGCGGCGAGGCAACTTCAAACTGTCCGGGCAAAACGTCAAGTTTACTCACGAGTTTACTCAGCAGAAGGAGGGGGGAGAGGCCAGGGCGGGCACACCCCATGCCAGGGTCCTATCCGTATGCCTGTCCCCACCTTCCTCCTCCACCCCCCTCTTCAGCCATGGGCCAAAACAGGCCTAGGTCCCAAAGCCTAGTGTCAGGGCAGTCTTAAATCTCAGGAAGGTCAGCTAGCTGAGCAGGCGGGAGGCAGGAAGCCTTGAAGCAGGCCTAGAGGCTTCTATCAGAAGGCAGTGCCCGGCCTGAAGCCCATTCACTACTCTTGGAGCCTCGGCCTTGGGCCAGGAGAACTGGGCCTCTCAGCCACCAAAAAGGGGTAGTACCAGGCCAGGCCTCCTTCATCTGAGCAGTCCCCTGGGCAGTGACTCCTGATCCCAAATGCCCAGTCTCAGGCGATACCTCAGGTACCATCATGATGCCATCCAGGCAGCCATAGGACCAGGGGCTAGTTCTTTCAGCCTCGGCTTGGAATGAGGGGCCGGCACCCTATCTGACCTACTTCCCTTTCCTCCCCACCTGCTTTCATTCTCTGCTTCTCTCCCCCAGCCCTTACTGTCCCCACCCCAGAGGCATGCTCCACCCCCCATGCCCGCTGGGGGGCCCTCCCCCACCCTTCCCCAGGGTGCCAAGTGCAAGCACACAAAGGGCCCGATGGTGCATTGTTAGCCCAGCCCCCGCTGCCCTATGCGCCTTCCCAGGGCGGGCAGTAGGCCAAGGAGGAGCTGGGGGCCCTGGGTGCCAGGGGGCACCACGGGTAAGAGGGAAGATGACAGCACCTGTCCCCTAGACACTGGGGTCCATATGAGCCAGGCTGAGCAGTGATGAGAGTGCCCCATTAGTGATTAGTGTAAGGCCTCTCTCCTTAACACCTGAGCCTAGTGGGCACTGCTTTCTTTCTTCCCCAGAGCCCCTTTCTGGTGGTATTAACCCCTTCCTGACCCCTGCCCCAAGGCTGAGGGGTGTGGTACCCAAGGGAGGGGACAGTGTCTGGGGGTGCCAGGAGGCTACATCGTGCCCACAGCAACCATGAAACAGAGGCACGCTGGGGGAGCCGGGGTCCCGGGGGCCAGGGACAGAGGCACTGACAGAGATTTCTCCTTGTTTCATCAGCTGCTCCAGGGGGAGCCCCCTGCCCTTCTCCCCAGTCACCTCAAAGGTGGAACACTAAGCCCAGTCACAAATAAGTCTCTTTCCAGTCCAGCCCAGCCCTCATTATACCTACTCTTTCCTCCCAAGCCAAAGCCCACCTTCATGCCAGCTCCCCCATAGTGCCAGGCAGTTACAGGGGTAACCAAACCAGTTGGTGCTGTGTGTTGGGGGGAGCAGGAGACAACTCCATAATCCTCAAGGCCTCACCCCCTACTCCATACACCTATTCCCTTGGGGAATAGAGAGTTCCCATCCTGGTTTAACCCCTTACTATCCAATCTGGCTCTCCCCTGATAAACCACCTCCCTTCTCCAGGAATAAATTGGGGGAAGGGGGACTAGCTGCGCTGACTCATTCCCATTCTCAGTTGCAACCAGGGGTCTCCAAGGCATTAGGGCGGGGGTCAATTCAAGAACGCCCTCCACCTGGCCCGGAAGCCAGGACAGTCTGCCGGTCTCCCCCTCTCCCTAGCACCCACTTCCGGTGTCCCAAACTAGGTCAGCAGCGCTCGTTTCCTGTGGGTCAGCTAGCACCGGCGCCTCTGCCCCTCCCCGGCTCCAGACCCAGGCTCCCCGCCCCCCCTGCTCCCCCTGCCCCCCAGGGCGCCCCGAGGTCTCACCACGTTTCAGCTGCCCTTTGATACGTGGGGGTTGTGCGGGGCGGGGGGCAGGGGACCCGCCCTCTCTCTAAACACTAGCAGGGCCGGGGCGCCTGGGCAGGCACGTGTCCGGGCACAACCCGCTGCCCACGCCGCCCCCCCACTCCTTGCCCCCCCTTGCTCTGGCCGGGACACGTCGCTCTCTTACTTGGGGTGGGGTGGGAGGAGGGCGAGAAACTGGAAATTCAAAGCAGCGCCCCCGACCCCTGTGAATGGCAGCCCTCTGCAAGCGGCGCTCACTGTAGGTCCTACAACCACACGGTAGCGACCCCCACCCTGGGTAGGGGCAGGTGCGCCGGCGCCGGAGGAGGAGGGGTGTGAGGGTGGGAAGGAGCCTTCTTCCCGATCATCCATCCTCACTCTCAAGCTTGGAAAAGGCGGCAGTGGGTCTTGAGCCGGAGGGAAAGGAGTGGGAGAGAGGGGTGGTGGAGAGAGGGGTCGTTCTATGGGGCTCGGAGGTCGTCGTGGAGCCCCCCTACTGCTGGCGAGAGAGCGCTGCTTGGGAAGCGCAAGAAACCGAGTAGTCCAGCCGGTAACTTTCCCCCAAGCCTCTGCTCCTCCGGCGCCCCCCCACCCCCATACAACTGGCCCCGGTCCAACCCACCGCGCCAGGGGGCGCGCGGGGGGGTGGGGGCGAGTTGTCCTAGTTAGAGTCGGTCAGCGTTTCCATTCCCTCAACTCGGCCGGCTCGGGGTCTCTCACTAAAGTCACGAAGGAAGCAGGGGGAGCGCTCAGCGCCGCCTCACCTCTCTCCATCCCCGAGTCGCCTGTGATTCCAGGAGAAGTGCAGAGAAAGTTTCTGGGGACCCTCCGCCCAGGATTGGGGGCCCCTGGTTCCGTCTCTACTCTTCCTCCTAATGAAAACCAATTCCAACAGCCCGGGCTGCTGGGCAGGCACGGGGAAGGGGAGTGGTGGGAATCTGATCTGCATGCGTGTGTGTGTGGGGGGGTCCCTCTCACAGGACGGACGAAGGACACTGCAGTACTCTCGAGTCTGGGGGACCCCGAGCCGTCACACAAAAGTGGGGTACACTCACCTTTCGGCCGTCGGGTCCGCGGGCTGGAGCTGCTGAGGCACCGGGTGTGAGGAGAAGCGCGTCCCCCGCCAGGCCCGGGGGCTTGGGGCCCTGCTCCGGTCCTGGTCAGAAGGCCGCGGTCAGTGGCTCGCCGCTCGCTGCTGGGGGGCTCCTCCTCCGCCGCCCTCTGCCTCCTCCTGCCGCCCGCCCCCCCTCGGCCGCC